CTATTCTTCTCATCAACGTGCACCTAATAAAAATATTTAAAAATTAATTTGCAAAATATAAATTGATTAAAATACCCCTCAAATATTTTGGGGCTATTTTGGTCAATTTATTTTTCACGAAATATTTTTTTGATATTTTTATTGGATTCTAATATTTTTAAAGAACACACGTCCAAAATTTCAAGTGATTTGAATTATATAAAAAAAATTAAAATTCGAATACGAAATACAATCATGATCATTAGATCGGCCCAGATTGAATCTGGGCAGTCTAGAGGGTAAAGAAATTTCGATGAGGTTAAGAAGGCCATAAGCGAAAAATGATCATGTTATAAACAATCAAAACTTAAAAGAATATAAAAATGCTAAAAAAAATGCTAAACAAATAGTAAGTAAAGCTAAACTTAAAGCATATGATAATCTATACAATAAACTGAGAACACGAGAAGGTGAAAAAGATATCTTCAAATTAGCAAAGCTAAGAAAGAAAAAATGTAGGGATCTAAACCATATTAAATGCATTAAGAGTGAGGATCAAAGAATCTTAGTGAAGGATGACGATGTTAACGAAAGGTGGAGAGTCTATTTTCAAAAATTATTAAATGACGAACACAATGGGAACATAGTGGTAGAAGAGATTATTGGTACAAGTGAGGGTGGAAGTCATAGATACATTCGTAGGATTAGGATGTCGAAAGTGAAAGAAGCTTTGAAAATGATGATAGGAAGGGCTTTAGGACCAGATGATATCCGAATAGAGGTTTGGAAGTGCATAGGAGAAATTGGCATTGACTGGCTGACGAAGTTGTTCAACAAGGTGTTGATAACAAATGAAACATATAGAATTGTGAAAACTATCGAGGGAACAAGCTTATGAGCCATACTATGAAGCTTTGGGAGAGAGTCATTGAGCAACAACAAAGGCATGAAACAAGTGTATTCGAAAACCAATTTGGTTTTATGCCAGGGGAAAAGACCTCCACATAGTCTTTATTGATCTAGAGAAAGCTTATGATAGAATACCTCAAGATTTGATTCGATGGGTGTTAGAAAAGAAATGCGTCTCTAAACACTACATCGATTTGATGAGAGATATGTAGGATAGAGTGCTAACTAGTGTACAAACAACTAGTGATGAGACAAGTGAGTTTTCAATGATAATAGGTCTACATCAAGGGTCAACATCGAGCCCACACCTCTTTGTCTTAGTTATGGATGACTGAAGTTGGCACCTACAGGATGAAGTACCGTGGTGCATGTTGTTCGAAGATGACATAGTTTTGATTGATGAGACCCGAAATGACGTCAACACAAAGTTAGAACTTTGGAGGGATGCTCTAGAATCCAAAGGTTTTAAAATTAGTCGGACTAAGACAGAATATAAGAAGTGTAAGTTTAGTAATAATAGGAGTAGAGACGATGAAGTAGTCAAGATTGACGGCCATGAAGTACAAAAAAGACCGCACTTTTGATATATTGGATCAATAATCCAGAAAAATAGAGAGATCGAGGAAGATGTTGTACACAAAATTAGAGCTAGGTGGACGAAATGACGATGTGCAACTAGACTTTTATGTGAACGTCGCATACCAATGAGGCTGAAGGGCAAGCTCTATAGAGCAACGATGAGACCAGCTTTACTCTATGGGGTAGAATGTTGGGCAGACAAAAAACAATATACCCATAGAATAAGAGTAAAGGAGATCACGATGTTGAGATGGATCGAAATAAATTTATTTAACAGAAATTAAGAGTGGCACCAATAGGCGATTAAATGAGAGAGAGTAAACTTAGGTGGGTTGGCCATGTTTAGTGCCAACCAAATACAACACCTATTAGGAGGTGCGAGGTGCAAGTTATTTCAAATGGAAAGATTGTAAAGGGAAAGGGGTAGGCCCAAAAGGACGTGGTTGGAAGGAGTCTGAAAAAATATGGGGACTTATGGCTTCACTAAGGATATGGCCTTTAATAGAGCAGAATGAAGAACCAAGATTCATGTAGCCAACCCCAATTAATTGGAAAAAAGCTAAAATGATGATGATGATGATTGTGATACACTTCAATCCTTTAGATTTTACATCCAATGGTTAAAATTTCATATGTATCATCAAAGCCTTTTCCCAACTAATTGAGATTAGCTACACGGATCTTAGTTTTCCATTCTGCTCTATTAAAGGTCATATCCTTAATGAGGCCATAAGTCCATATATATTTTCTCACTATTTCCAACCATGACCAATCACTTGTCATTTTTTAGCCTTCCACTTGAATTAACTC